ATGCCGCGCCGCGCTCCCCCCGCCGCCCCTTACCAGGTGCTGCCCCAAGCATGTGCTTGGGTGCCTGGAGCCGGCCCTGAATACAGATCATGGTTTGTCAGTAGGACTGACTTCCTATGATTCGACATATGCTCAAGTTTGACTCTCGAAAAGTTTAATACTTCTTTTAAACTTTAAGATTTCTAATACATTGATCTTGTCTCTAAACTACTGCTATCTCTTTAAAGAGTCACGGACAAAATCTCAGAAAAAATGTCTAAGTCACAAAGCAGCTGAGTAACCGTGACTGTAAACTGCATAACTACACATCCTAGTTCACTTTCTGCTGAGGTTTGTACACATGCTGCAGGTTGGTGACTGGAGTATGCTTTAGAAAATACTGTCAATCTGTTTGATTGCCTCTCACTGTGAAGCTGAAGGAAGGAGTGACCTTGGAACATTGAGAAGAAGGATATATTGAAGTAGTTGCCTGCAGTAGATTTGCATGAATTCCCAGCTTCAAGGAAATTTACGTGACAAGAATAGAAGGGTCGACCATCTAGTATAAGAACACTAAGACACGTCTGTTCTGTCCTACACAAGTCAGCCTTACTTGCCTGTGCTTCATTCATTCTGAAGAGACTTTCACATGCAGCTGGTACCTTTGGAACAAATGAAAATGATTGCCATTTCTAAAAATCAAGAATTGCTGCATTTTTGTTATTTCGGTTCAGATGGCTGTAACATTTTTTGTGGTGGAGTTTTCTTCTAATCCACCTGAATGGTGTAGGTGATGAAAGATGTATGGCTGTGTTAGCACAGATTATCCACCTCTGCCAGTCTTCACCACAGAGGTAGCTTTATTTTGGAGTTGAAGTGATTTTGTGTGTGTGGATAGTTTATGGCGTGCTTTGGGCTATAAGGTGCAGTAGAAATAAGATAACGCATTGCCTGTTGCTTGACTCGTGTTTGTGACCAAAGTGGCTTCAGAGCAGATGCACTCTGTTTATGACAGGTTACTGCTATAGAAATACCTTTTTTCACACTAAGCAGTCTGTCAAAACTCCTGTGCATTGAACTGAACTGGGATATGATCTGTCAGCATTTAGAATCTGGCTGTAGGTTTAACCATATTTTATTAAAACCAAATATTGCGGCTGATGAGTATATCAGCTCTATATGATGAAACTAGTTGTTAATCTGCTGCACAGCTTTTGGGACTGAAGCTTTTAAATATGGTGCTTTGGTATTTAATCTTCTGATTAAATAATAAAGCTGACTAAATAGCGCTTGCTTTTTAAGGTAGAAAGAACAGTTAGTGGCTCCACTGTGAAATGACAAGCCATCACTTCATGCCCTGAAAACCTTTGCTTTTAGGAAGACTATGGGAGAATGTCAGTCACTTAGGTCTCTATATGAACAATTTCAGCTATTCTGTTTTTTCCTCTCCACTGAAATGAAAGTGTTCTACACTCACCATTTAGGTTTACAAAGAGCTGATGAGTTCTGTACGGTATTTCTGACGTGTATTGCTAGGCTTCAGTCTGAGGCTGACAGTGACATCTTGCCCCTGTAAATTATAATAGATTTAAATAGGGCTGTAACTTTCCTTTGGTTCAAAGGCACCATGTGGCTGCTCATGGCCCATCCCAGACTTTGTGGGAGTCTCACTTTCACTGAATACACCACCAAAGAGCACTTCATGGCTGACTTTTAAGTTATTTGAATTATCAGACCCTAGTCATTTGTGGCATGGTGAACAGAAGAGGAGGTCTGCAAGAATACATTTTACGCTTGAAAAATTTTTTTTTTTTTTTTTTTTTTTTTTTAGAGGCAGGGGAGGTTGCCATTCCAAGATTTTTCATGTATGCAGCAGTAGTCATTCTTGAGACAAAAATACCTGCAGACTAAAATTGGCATTTCCATTAGGTATAACAGCATTGTAGACAGTAGCAGACTTTGAGATGCCTTTTGGGTGCCCATAACACTGACTGGAATTCTTCCCCTAACCAGACATCCAAACAAATGATCATGTCACACCACTGATGGAACTGTTTGGCTCCAAAGAATATTCATAAATGCACACTGTGTCCAATTACCAGTTCGTACTCTGCACTTCACAAACTCTGCAATGTCTTTTTCATTGTTAATATACAAAAACTCAGAAATGTACACAGTTGTGCTTTCCATCTGTTATTTAGTCTCTTATTTCCTGTAGATCAGCATCATTTTGGGTCACCCACACAATCTACCTGTTGGAGTTAGAGGAGATAGCAGTGTTCTAAAGGAACACTCTCAAATTGGTTATGTACCATTGAGAAATTTTTCTTTCCTTCCTATCTCCTCTAGCGATCAGTGAATGCCCTGAAACTTGACATTTGGCTATCTTTACATAGTCTCCATAACTACAGTATTTGGCTCTCTGCACTCATTGGTTAGTAAATTCCCCAGACTGACTACTGATCGTGCGAAGAAGCAGGTTTTTTAGATTGTTCTAATTTACTTGCCACTGATTTGAGTGACTTTGTTTTAGGGGCCGAGGGGACCAATCTACTTTTACTACACCTTTTACAATCTTGAGTGCCTCAGTTGAGTCCTCTCTGTTTCTTTTCAGGCTGAATATTTTTGGCTGGCTGTAGTCACTCTCCATGTTTTCATAATATTAACCCAAGCCATGGACTACACTGAAAATAGCAACTTGTTTGTTTTCACTCTCCTTAACACAGACAAATCGGGACATCTTGTGTTAGCATCTGCTCCTGGGAGAGTGAATTTATAAAAATACTGCACAAGTTGCTACTTTGGTGTGATCACACTAGTGTGATGGGGCGTACGTGTGGGGATTTCTGGTAAAGTTTCAAATTGGGCAGATTGTTGCAAAGAGGAGGCAGAACTCAGCTCTGCTTTCAGATGGCTCATGGAAACTTATGTTCTTGAACTAATTGAAGGAAAAACTGAGTCCTGGAAGTGAGTGGGAGCAAAAAGAATGTAAGGTGAGGATAACCGTATCTCTTTTACTTCTTATAACGCTTTTACCGTGGCAGCAATAAATTCGACTTTACTGTGGAGAACTGTATGTTGTTTTTAATAAAAACTTCAGATTGATTTCTATGCCAGGTTAAAGTAGCAAACACTTCCCTTTCTCGGCATCTCTTCTAGGGTTCATGTAGTTCTGTGGAATAAACATTGCATAAGATGAAGGCAAGTAAATTGTTAAACAGTGATGTATGGAGCACAGAGAAAGAAGAAATGCACTTAAGTCCTACAGCACATATCTGAATGTACTGTGTTGATTTGAGGAGAGGGGTGGAATTTTTTGTTTGTGCTAATTCATGCTGGTCAGGGAGATTTTTTTTTTCTGTTTTTTTACACTCCTAATCTGATTCTGAGTGTTTGTTGATTTAATTGTGCATTTTAAAAAATGTATATATTAGACTAGATTTTCTTAAATTTAGAAATATGGGAGCATCACCTGATGACAGATACTGAAATATTGTGGTGATACATTGCACTGCTACGTTAAAGTTTTACCAGCTTTATTACGAGACACTTCTATTTTCAGTGTTTTGTAACTTGTTATAAAATATGGCTTTGAAATGAAACTGGGTATTTACAATAACCTGAGTAATAGAAAAAACAAAATCGTTTGAATATTCTAGGCGTTTTGTTTGTTCTTCTCCGTGAACATTGTCTCCACAGAGCGCTGCTGTGGGCTTCATATTCCTAGGGATGTAGCAATGGAACTTCCTGAATAGCAGTGGTCAGCTAGGTGGCACGTGCGTGGCTCTCAAGTTCTACGTTCCATAGTTTGAGGATATAAATATTCTAGCCCTTCTTGGTTCCGAGTGCCAGTCTCAGAAATAGCGTGGCCCGTTTTTCCATCATGAAGTGCACACACTGTTCAGCGAATAGTTCCAAACCAGTTTGTGTAGATTTAGTCAAAGGGAATTTAGTTTCAGCTTTTATGTTTTGACCATGTTGACAACTGTTGTTATATTAGGTCCATTTGGGCCTTGCCCAAGATTTGAGATAGCGGAGAGGATGAGGTTGTGCTCTCGCCAAACAAATATATTTAATATGTTTCTGTGAAGGCTTTCTACTGTATTTTCTGCTAAGACTTTCATTATACGGGCCAAGTCTTCATTTGGGTGGCCCCCCAAATAATTCACCACCAGGGCTAACTGTTAAAGGGCTGTATTCTGCAAAACATTGCTTGTAGTGATCTAAAATATTTAGTGCTTGTTAGTTTTTTTGACCATTGTTTTTTTTTTTTTTTTTTTTCAGCTCGGATCGTCTGATAGAAGAAACAATAAGGTAGGAATGGATTTACTAATTTTTGTATTATCTTTTATAGAATCAGTATTCGCTCTGGATGCTGTTCGAAGTAATCAGTTGTTTTATGTATACAACACCCATACTGAATCTAAGTCATATAAGTGTATTGCAAATAAAATTAGGTCTGTTTGATTCCATCCACCCATTCTAGAGCAATGCAGTGCTGTCATTTGAAATGTTTTGCCCATTTTAATTTAGCAATTTAGACTTGTATGCAAAGATTTTGTATAGACAGTAATTATTAAAATTTAGTGTAGTAGTGTTCAGGCAGGCTAAAGAATTGAGAACTATTCGGAGAGTTTGAAGCACCTCCCGCCCATGAAGGAACTAGTGCTACATGGCTTCTGTAATCCTTAACCACATTCACTACCTTAGCGTTGCAGTTCATATCAGAGAGGAGGTTTTTACAAGCAAACACCTGGGTGAATATTACTATTGTGTGGCTGGTCATTTTTTTATTTATTTTTATTTGTGTGGTTGAAATCCTACCATTTTGCATTGGACTGGAAATTTCAATGTCAGATTTCTGAAGCATCATATTCCAGCATTATAAATTACTTTTCTCTTACATGCCCTTTCCAATCTGCCATCTAGCACTGGGATTTTGCAAAATAATAATTAAGAATTCTTGAAATACGTCCTAAGTTTGAGATTCTCTCTCATAAAAAATTTTTGAAGGGAAGATTTTATTTCAGATAATGCATGTAATGGGATAAGTGATCAACACTGCTACTAAGAGGTGCAACAAGATGTGAAGTGTGTCCATTAAGGGCTGGCTAGCAAGCTGAAATACAGTTAGCTCAGTACTATTAGTGTAATGGGGGAATGGGTTGAAACACAGTAATGTACTGTGAGGTGCATCAAGCTAACAGAAACCATTAGAGTGGTCAGCACTGTGATATGTAGAAAGATGGATATTTGTTTACATGAGCCCCACTTGCTTGATTCAACACCCTCAGTGTCTGAAGACACCTTCAAAAACTGGCTTTCCTGATTAAACCCCCATTTCATTGCCTTGCTCAAAACAACTTTTGCTAAGGAGCATTTATATGCTGACACTCTCCCCACCCTGTGAAAACTAAGCATCAACTCCACATTTCTTATCATCTCCTCACTGCTACCTGCTAGCTAGAGGGCTAAAAGGCCTGAGATTTTTGAAGTCTGATCTTCTGCAAAGTGACCTAATGTTTTATCAGTTGAGTCCCCCACCTGCTCTCTGGATTGTGTTTCAGCACCTGTGGGGAGATTTACGTGTGATGCGATATTGCCTACAGTCTGTTGACTGAATGGTTGGGTTCTGAGCTCTTTGCTTTTACTTAGAGTGTTTGTTGCATTAACAGATGAACTTTGCCTCTGGGAGTGTGGGTTCCTGAGCTCCTCATTGCACAGTTCATTAGTTCTAAAGAGGGGGCTGGCTCCCCATCCCATCGAGTGCCAAGGAGCTTCTCTGTTATCTTATGTAAATCTGGTTTGTTTGGTAGCCACAAGCAGCAGCTACCAGAATATGTAATTTAATTTGCATTGCTTCATTTCAGGTATTGTACCACAATTCAGGCTCTGCTTAAAGTCAGAATGGATTTTCTGTTTTGCCCTTTTCCTTCTCCAGTAATTGCAAACATTTGGCTTTGATGTTAATTGGTGGTAACACCCGCTGCATCTTCAGGGAATTTACTAGTTAGAAAATCATCCAGCTCTTTAATTAGAGCATTGTCCATTGCTCCCCAATTAAAACACATGGACTTGTGTAGAAGAGGCTGTTTGAATGCTGATTCCTTGGGTGACTGTGATGTAATTAGCTTTTCTGGCTACTAATGCTTGTCTGTCTTCAAGAGTTGCATCTGTTGTAGTTCATTGTTTAGATGTAACTGCAAAATCATTATTAATCGTTTTTGAAAAGGTTTGTTACTAAGCAGCCAACATAGAAACATTGGAAAGTGCCTTTTGTGATTGTGGGGGGCCTTTGTTGATGACCTCAGGCCTATTACCAGTGGGCAGATGGCCACATTACCCAACACAGCTAGCACTAACTGTCCCCCTGGTTGGCAGTCTCAGCAGAGACGTTAAGGAGTCAATAAGCCCAGAGAGTGAACTCCCCTGTATGGTCCCTCCACAGGAATGGGTAGGGGAAGGGGGCCATGGTCTCTGCTGTGCTGGTGCTTGTGCTGGACCTGTGACTAATGGAGCTATAGCTTCCCCAAGGCGGTCTGAGCATTTCAGAAACTCCCCATCCATTTGTACAAAAATTGTTAAAAGCTCTTACGTGACACAAGGTTTTCTCAAGCAGCATATTTCTGCCCAGATATGTGTGGGATGTGATGCCTGGCACGGCAGTTCTTTGGGGGGCAGTGTTCACTTGCTTTGGGCAGATTTAGACATAAATGTCTCTGTATTTAAACATGTATTTAGTGATCTCGGATTTTCTTCTCCACTTTCAAACTTTGTCATTTTCTCAAAATAGGAAGCAATGGCTTACTAGTGACTGTATTTTTCATTTACCATAGATACTTTTTGAAACATAGTTTTGTGGAGTATTGTTTGAAGCATACATCAGACTGCAAGCTCTCTCCGACCAGTGATTAGTAGAAAGTTCCATAGATACCTTTAATTTAGTATTTCTCTTAGGATTTTGCAAAAAGTCCCTCCGTTCTGGTGGTGATGGTCAATACAGTTTGTTTACTTCAGGGATACATTGACTTCTGTCTAGACATAGAGTGACTTATTCAATGGGACAGAGGGAAGGAAAATTTTCCCTTCCCCTCTTAACAGAACATCCCTTGGCTGTAAACTTTCTCTGATATAACAGGGCTAAGGCTCATCCACTCTGCCTTGCAGTCTTTCCAAAGGAACATGGTATATTAGATTTTTCTGTAATCTGTGCTAATTGAGTGTGACTCTGTCACCCTCTAGCGGCTCTGTCACATTCAAAGGTTTATGCTCTAGTACTGCTTCCATGCTAGGAGATATGGTTCTTTAGCTCAAGTGATAGAGAATCATGCTTTCTCATCCATTAATGCCAGGTTCACTGGCAATAGGTGACTCAAACAGGGGCATTGTTACATTGGCTATGGTGTCTGTAACCGCTAGATGACAATCTGTTCTCAGAGCCAAAAAGCATGACGCCCAGCATTCCACAGCAGGAGAAGTCAAAAATCAGGAGAAAACATGACTTAATCTATTTATAAAAATATCATGATTTGGGGGCCAATATCATATTTTTGGACATTGTTTTTGAACTTTTGTGGTTGGCAATACTCCACTTACATTAAACTTTGACTTCATTGCAGAATATGATGGATGGCAACGGAGGAAGATCTTATTTGAGTTTTAGCTTCAGTAATAAGAGGCACGACGGAAAATTGTTGGCAAAATCTTTTGGGGGGAAGTGGGGGGACATGTTCCTTTGTTTTTCATCCTTGTTTGCACCCGTTAGAAAGATGGCAAACAAAACATGTTGGAAAAAGTGACCCACCCAAAATTGTCAGTAGTTTTATACTAGAGTTTAAAAGGCCTCTTCCTGCAAAACAACCTCTGCTTCGTGTATGTTATGATAAAGTTAAATGTAACAAGTGAGAGGATCTGAGTTCATAGCAGATAATGACGTGTTCCAGTAGAACATCAGCAGAAGCGTTCCAATAGAACATCAACTATTTGGTTTTAAAAGTATGTCTCGCTCCTTTGGAGCTTTGTTTTAGTGTCACATCAATATAGATTTGTCTGCAGCCTCAACCGACAGAGCAAGAAGTAGGCGTTTTGGTATGTTTCACATAGCAATGAAACTCCTACATATATGGCTGGCAAAAAAACACAGCTTAACATTCAGTAAAAACAGTTGCTCCTCATAGGCCCTGCATTAAATTGTAGCTCTGCGTGAGAGTTTGACTCTGTTTGGATGCATTCATTGCTGGAAACAAATGTTGTTTATTTCTGTAGCACCTTTTATTCTGAAAGAACCCAAAGCGACATACAAATTCTATACGGAGATCATGAGCCCCACCTCTGAAAAGAAATGTCAGTTACTCTGTGCAGAGCGTCGCTACACAACAGTTAAGGAAGTGAAGTGGGAAACGTTACGATCCAGGGCAGAAGATAGTTACCTGAACAGGAATCTGGACTACCCCTCTGTCATCGTGTCTCAGTGGGTCACAGCTGAGGATGCAAGGTTCAGGACAAACTGCTGAGAAACAGGGCAGACTCTCCCCTAGACTGGTGGTTATTCTTCCATAAGATATACCAAACCAACAACAAAAGTGAACTTCTGTCTTCTCACACTGGCTAACAAGAAGTCAGAAATGCAGTCTCCTTGTCTCCCAGCCCTTGTTTCGCCACCCAGACACTAGACTTAATGATGAGTGATTATTTAAAACTAATTTAATCAACCAAAGGGTTCTTCTGCTCCCTAAGGACAAGCCACATACCCAAGTCAATATATAACTCAGATCTTATCCAATAATCACGCTGTTGACAGTCCTTTTGTATCCAATATCTAGCTGTTTATTTATAAGTAGGGTGACCAGACAGCAAATGTGAAAAATCGGGATGGGGGGTTGGGGGTAATAGGAGCCTATATGAGAGAGACACCCAAAAATCAGGACTGTCCCTATAAAATCAGGACATCTGGTCACCCTATTTATAAGAGAAAAAGGGAGAGAGTTAAAATGGTCAAAGGAATCAAATACATGTGCTCATTGCAAAGTTCTTGTATTAGGTTTGTAGCAGCGATGGAATAAACTGCTAGCTTATAATGTCTTGGTCTTGGTAACATCCAAAAGATTGGAAGGTCCCCAGTCCATTGACTGTAGTGCTCCTCTTAGTGTAAGTCTTGCTCTGATCTCTGAACTATGGAAAGAGGCAAAATGGAGATGCTTCCAGTGCCTATGCTTTCTCCCATGTGGAGGGAAAACTCTCAGTTTTAGTTTGTGAAAAGTCCAGTTACAAGATGGAGTCTAGAGTCACATTAACTAGTCATGTGACCTTGCATG